CTACAAGGTCAATGTGACCTTGACCTTTGACCCCTTAACTCCAAAATCAATAGGGGTCATCTACTGATCATGACCAATCACCATATCAAGTTTGAAGTCCCTAGGCCTAAGGGTTCTTTCCTTATTGAATCGGAAACCGTTTTTACCTACAAGGTCAATGTGACCTTGACCTTTGACCACTTAACCCCAAAATCAATAGGGGTCATCTGCTGGTCATAACCAATCACCATACCAAGTTTGAAGTTCCTAGGCCTAAGGGTTCTATTGTTATTGATCGGAAACCGTTTTTACCAAAGAGGTCAATGTGGGACCTTGACCTTTGACCCTTGACCCCAAAATCGTTAGGGGGTCATCTACTTGATCATGACCAATCACCATACCAAGTTTGAAGTTCCAAGGCCTTAAGGTTCTTTACTTTATTGATCGGAAACCGTTTTTTGCTTACAAGGTCAATGTGACCTTGACCTTTGACCCCTTGACCCCAAAAATCAATAGGGGTCATTTACTGATCATGACAAATCACCATACCAAGTTTGAAGTTCCTAGGCCTTAAGGTTTTTAGTTATTGATCGGAAACCTGGTTTTTGCTTACAAGGTCAATGTGACCTTGACCTTTGACCCCTTGACCCCAAAATCAATAGGGGTCATCTACTTGTCATGACCAATCACCATACCAAGTTTGAAGTTCCTAGGCCTAAGGGTTCTTTAGTTATCACTCGGAAACCATTTGGTCTACGGACGGACCGACGGACCGACAAGTGCAAAGCAATATACCCCCTTTTTTTCAAAAGGGGGCATAACAATTTCTAAAGGTGACCACCAAAGGAAGTTTGGATGAAATTGGCTTAGTGGTTTATGAGGAGATGTCATTTAAAGTAAAAGTTTACGGCCAGACGCCAGACGAAAGGCGATCACAAAAGCTCACCCTGTCACTTTGTGACAGGTGAGCTAAAAATGTATCAAATGGTATTATCCTAGCAATACATAACACAATGGTATTACCCAAAATATATCAACTATTATATGGTATAACCTCAACATATGTATTAACATGTACTAACTCTGATGGTATAACCTCTATATGTTATGTATTAACTCTGATGGTATAACCTCTATATGTTATGTATTAACTCTGATGGTATAACCTCTATATGTTATGTATTAACTCTGATGGTATAACCTCTATATGTTATGTATTAACTCTGATGGTATAACCTCTATATGTTATGTATTAACTCTGATGGTATAACCTCTATATGTTATGTATTAACTCTGATTGTATAACCTCTATATGTTATGTATTAACTCTGATTGTATAACCTTAATATGTATTAACTCTGATGGTATAACCTCAACATGTAATAACTCTGATGGTGTAATGACAATTTTATATCTGAACATTCACACTTTGCTACAAAGATGTTATCCTTAAATGAATAAAACCCTGATGATGATATAATCTTGACATAAATAAACAGCACATAACCAACACTTCCTAATGAGATCTTAATATTTCCTTATGCAAACATTGCAGCATTTTCACCAGACAGTTTAACAACATTCAATTGCAAAATCTCAAAACAAAACAAATATATCAAATTAATAAGGCAGTGTTTCCAGGAAAATCTGATTTTCTTTTGCTTATTTTTTCTAAAGCTTTGATATTTGCTAAATTTTCCTTACTTGCAGTATTTTGTTGTATATTTGTGACAAGAATCAACATCAATTTGACAAAGTGAGCTAAATCATGTTTGTTTTTCCATTCATTTTTTAAAGATCTGAAGCATAAACTGGTTAGAAAATTTTCTCTGAAATCTATTTTTAAACATGAAAGTCAGCAAGAATGACAAAATATATAACTTATAATCTGAAAGGTTTGAGACCCTTACATATATAATGAAACTCTTTGGCAAATATTTCTATGATTATACAATGATAGGTACATCATAGTCGTCTTTATTTGGTAGAGTTACCATTATACAGCTGGCACAAAACTAGCCCGGGCTTAGAGGTGAACAGTGAAAATTCTTAAGTCCCGTAGTTGCAAAATTGTTAGTTTCTGTTTATCTTTAATTTCTATTTAGCATTTCTTTTGTCAACCAATATCAGGACTCTACTTGTGAATCAAATTATACAGAGAATATTTGTCACTGTATATTTGTCACATTATCATACAATCAATTTGATTGGTTAGATTTTTGACCACTTTATATTATGTTAAATTGGCTTATTTGAAATACTTATATTCACTATTGGTTATAACAGCAGTCCTCAATATGGTACAAGAGCATGAAATACTGATATACTATATCCTCTATTCCAGCAGGAGTTGCTGACATTTTCCAATCTATCTCGCCAGTAAGATTTACCAGAATCTGTATTTCGTCAAAGTAGGTTTTATCTGATGACAAAATAATTCCAATTGCTTTACTTTAAGAAATTATTATGTTTTGGCACCACAAACGTAAAAAGTAGAGCACTTAACGATCATGAAGGCATTAAAAGTCCTATTTCAAGAAAGGTACTTAATAAAGCATCAATATTATGCAATATGTGGTCATATTAACTCATACTCTATCATTTCATAATGCAATATGTGGGCATATAAACTCATACTTTTATTATCTGATAATACAATATGTGGGCATATAAACTCATACTTTTATTATCTGATAATACAATATGTGGGCATATAAACTCATACTTTTATTATCTGATAATACAATATGTGGGCATATAAACTCATACTTTTATTATCTGATAATACAATATGTGGGCATATAAACTCATACTTTTATTATCTGATAATACAATATGTGGGCATATAAACTCATACTTTTATTATCTGATAATACAATATGTGGGCATATAAACTCATACTTTTATTATCTGATTATACAATATGTCGGTATATAAACTCATACTCTATCATTTGATAATGCAATATGTGAGCATATAAACTCATACTCATAATGCATCAATGTGTGGGCAAATAAGCTCATATTTTATCACTTGATAAAGCATCAATACGCGAGCATATAAAATCATACTCTATTATTTGATAATGCAATATGTGGGCATATAAACTTATACTCTTATAATTTCTTAATGCAATATGTGGACAAACTCATACTCTTATAATTTCATAATGCAATATGTGGGCATATAAACTCATTATGCATCAATATGAGTGACTAAGAGGTTGATGACCTCGATAAGTCAACCATATATTTTTGCCATTTCATCTGGAAAACTTGTTCCGGTTAGGTGGTTTCCTGCTTACATCTGTTGGTGCATGATTGAACATGAAACCAGCTGCAATCGTGCCAATCGCAACTTTTCGGCCTTTTCCGTCAGTCTTCGGATTAATGATAATAGCCGATGTAAATCCGATTGCAATCGTGACAATTCGGGCGATTCCGTCATACTGCGGAGTAATATTACGGAAATCTAAGCTATTTAGTTACTTCGGTAATCCCAGTTTGTGTATTATAAATAGGATTTTCTATTTTTACTTGATTTATCGATTTAAACCGTAATAAATTATAAACGAAATTGTTCTGTTTCATTTGTTTCAAGACGCAAAAGTTAGTTTTTTTATAATTGTTTTTTTGTCTGTATTAGTTTTATACAATAGAGAAATGGTGACTGTAGTGATTATTCCGTCTTCAAAGGGTGGTCCTGCTTACCTAATCACGCATGATCAGTTATATTTAGATCTACTGAACGCAATTCAACTTCTTGGTGAGGTAATCTAAAAATAGCCCATGCATATCATTAACCTTGGCCACGTGCTGATCTATGTATCATAGTTGATACATGCTTATTAATTAGTACCACGTAACGAAGTAATTAGTGCATTTACTTGTCTATAAAGCAAAGGAATGATTTTCGCTGCGAAAAAGGGAAATGAGATGTGCACACTTGTTTTCCTTCAGTATCACGTTAATATTTTTACGATTGATCATTTTCTTTATTAATTTTATACAATAGAGAATAGATCTAAATCGTTTTGACAAAAAAATATTCGGTTTTCCAAAAAAAAACAACAACTAAATAAACCCTTTATGATATACAAATACCGTAATTAAAAAAAAAAAATGTGATAATAAATTGAACCCCCCAAAAAAAGAACAATTTTAAAGGGTTGGGATGAAGGCACAACTGTGCAAGCCTTTCCTTTTAAAAGGAAACTTTATTTTTATTCAGCCAACATAAAACACACAGTGCAGTATGATACATCATACATGATGATTGCACCAGCTTGTAGATTTGTTATCTTCTAGAATTTAGGTATAATGATCAAGTGAAACAGCAGCTGGTTAACTAATGTATGTAATTTGTTTTGAGTGATGATGTGTCTTTAAATTCCCTGAGTTACATTAGGACTTCAATCAACAAGCATCTCTTGTACATTATATATAATCATCAACATTGATTACACTCACAATTTTCATAAATTTCTTTCATTTTTATCAAGCTCAGAGAACGTATGATGTTTTACTGGGAACATGTCTGCTCTTGTTTTCTAAAACATACATTATTTGACAAAGAATTTAAACATTATAACAAATATCATACACTAACTCTTGAAGCTTTCGAAGCATACAAAAATATTTCCCCAAAAAGAATCGTCTATAATAAGAAGTAATATTTAAACTCAGATTAATTGATATCACTCAAAAGAAAGAGTAATACTTACCAATGGTGGAGGAATCTTCAGTTTTAACTTCTGTTTCATCTGCAGTGCCTTAGATGGGCTTGTTATATCATCTGTTAATTCCATCGTTACCACAGCAGTTCAAAATAATGCACTATTCAAATTAATTCCAAATTCACCCCAAAAATATTAACACACTTTTATTCCAAACTTATTGTCAATTAATCATTGAAGTTGATGATCTTTTACATCAGCGGACAATAACCATATAATCCCAGTTAGCTATACAACTATATAATATAGGTCCACTAATATTAGGCACAACTTTTATATATACCAAATGACAACTTTGTTTGTTTTGTTAACTATTCAGTACCAATCCACTAAAACAACATCTGGGTTAATAAAGGTAACTCTAGCTATCAACATCACAAACTGTACGTAATTAAAGTCATTCAACTAAACTGAGAGGTTGTACATATTTAAATATAAACAGCTTCCGGCAAAACTTTTCAATGTTTGATAATGCAAGTTAGGTTTATTAAAATTTTAATGCTTAAATTAATAAAAAAAAACATTGAGTATTTATTGCTTATTTATCAAAATTAAATCATTTTCCATTAAACAACTATATTTCACCAAGTCTAGCTTATGTTTCTAAGTTATACGCATGTTCATTTGATATCTTATATAAATATTTTCTTCCCTAATTATCATAATTTTGTCATAAAAAATTTACCCTTTGGGGAATAAAAAAAATAATTTAAAACTGTAAAATTTAAACATTTTGATTGGTTTTAAATATTTTATTTACTGTTAAACCCTTTTTAAAAATTTTATGAAATGTAAAAACTTAACTTTTGGCAAAAAAATTTGTTTAATATCCCTTAATACCCCCTGCCCATTTCTGAAATGGCCCTTGCCACCCCTTCAAATTTTTTTGGGGAATTTTTCCCCAATTATCAATTTTAAAAATTTCTACGATTAAAAATTTAAAAGTTAGCCAAAAAAATATAGAGCCAGGTTAGACTGACCTTGCTCAGGTTACTTTTGGTTCCAGCAGGGTAAAGGTTAAATTCTCACTTACATAAACACTTATTAATTATAGCACACTAGCAAACCAAGCATTATATGAACTTTTAATAACAAATATTGAAATAGTAACAAGATATCTAATATTCATATTAAATTATACACACACATTCTAAAGTCACTTTCATAAGACCAACATTTTTATATCTTTTTTTTTTTAACAGTGATAGATGATATTTGAAGGGGGGGAAACCAGAAGTCAAACAAGGAGAAAAAAGAAGTCTACAAGGTGAAACCAGAAGTCAGACAAGGTGAAAACCAGAAGTTAGACAAGGTGAAAAACCAGAAGTCAGACAGGGAGAAAACCAGTAAATCAGATAAGAAGAAAACCAGTAGTCAGACAAGGAGAAAACAGTAGTCCAGACAGGGAGGAAAACCAGATAATCAGATAAGAAAAAAACCAGTAGTAAAACAAGGAGAAAACACCAGTAGTCAGACAAGGAGAAAACCCAGTAGTCAGACAAAGAGAAAACCAGAAGTCACACAAGGGAGAAAACCAGAAGTCTGACAAGGTGAAACCAGAAGTCAGACACAGGTGAAAACCAGAAGTTAGACAACGTAAACAAGAAGTCAGACAAGGTGAAAAACAGCAGTCAGACAAGAAGAAAACCAGTAGTCAGACAAGGAGAAAACCAGTAGTCAGACAGGGAGAAAACCAGTAATCAGATAAGAAGAAAACCAGTAGTAAAAACAAGGAGAAAAAACCAGCAATAGTCATAAAGGAGAAACCCAGTAGTCAGACAAGGAGAAAAACAAAGTAACATCAGACACAAGGAGAAAAACCAGAAGTCAGACAAGGAGAAAACCAGTAATCAGACAAAGAGAAACCAGAAGTCAGACAAGGAGAAAACCAGAAGTCAGACAGGAGAAAACAGCAGTCAAAACAAGGAAGAAAACCTGTAGTCAGACAAGGAGAAAACCAGTAATCACAGACAAGAAGAAAAACAGCAGTTTACACAAGGTGAAGCGTTAGACAAGGAAAAAACCAGAAGTCAGGCAAGGAGGAAACAGCAGTTAGACAAGGAGAAAGCCTGTAGTCAGACAAGGAGAAAACCAGTAATCAGACAAGAAAAAAAAAACAGCAGTTAGACAAGGTGAAAACCAGAAGTCAGGCAAGGAAGAAAACCAGAAGTTAGACAAGGAGACAACCAGAAGTCAGACAAGGAGTTAAAACAGCAGTTAGACAAAGAGAAAACCAGAAGTCAGACAAGGAGAAAACCAGTAATTAGACAAAGAAAAAACAGCAGTTACACAAGGAGAAAACCAGTAATCAGACAAGGAGAAAACCAGAAGTCAGACAAGGAGAAAACCAGAAGTTACACAAGGAGAAAACAGCAGTCAGACAAGGAGAAAACAAGTAATCAGACAAGGAGAAAACCAGAAGTCAGACAAGGAGAAAACCAGTAATCAGACAAAGAGAAAACCAGAAGTCAGACAAGGAGAAAACCAGAAGTCAGACAGGAGAAAACAGCAGTCAAACAAGGAGAAAACCTGTAGTCAGACAAGGAGAAAACCAGAAGTCAGACAGGAGAAAACAGCAGTCAAACAATGAGAAAACCTGTAGTCAGACAAGGAGAAAACCAGTAATTAGACAAGAAGAAAACAGCGTTAGACAAGGTGAAAACCAGAAGTCAGGCAAGGAGAAAACCAGTAGTCAGACAGGGAGAAAGCCAGTAATCAGACAAGAAGAAAACAGCAGTTAGACAAGGTGAAGCGTTAGACAAGGAAAAAACCAGAAGTCTGACAAGGAGAAAACAGCAGTTAGACAAGGAGAAAGCCTGTAGTCAGACAAGGAGAAAACCAGTAATCAGACAAAGAAGAAAACAGCAGTTAGACAAGGTGAAAAACCAGAAGTCAGGCAAGGGAGAAAACCCAGAAGTTTAGACAAGGGAGACAACCAGAAGTCAGACAAGGAGAAAACAGCAGTTAGACAAAGAGAAAAACCAGAAGTCAAAGACAAGGAGAAAAAAACCAGTAATTAGACAAGAAAAAACAGCAGTTAGAACAAGGAGAAAACCAGTAATCAGACAAGGAGAAAACCGGAAGTCAGACAAGGAGAAAACCAGAAGTCAGACAAGGAGAAAACAGCAGTCAGACAAGGAGAAAACCTGTAGTCAGACAAGGAGAAAACAGCAGTTAGACAAGGAGAAAACCAGTAATCAGAACAAGGAGAAAACCAGAAGTCAGACAAGGAGAAAACCAGAAGTCAGACAGGAGAAAACAGCATTCAGACAAGGACAAAACCTGTAGTCAGACAAGGAGAAAACCAGTAATTAGACAAGAAGAAAACAGCAGTTAGACAAGGTGAAAACCAGAAGTCAGGCAAGGATAAAACCAGTAGTCAGACAGGGAGAAAGCCAGTAATCAGACAAGAAGAAAACAGCAGTTAGACAAGGTGAAGCGTTAGACAAGGAAAAAACCAGAAGTCAGGCAAGGAGGAAACCAGAAGTCAGACAAGGAGAAAACCAGAAGTCAGACAAGGAGAAAACAGCAGTTAGACAAGGAGAAAGCCTGTAGTCAGACAAGGAGAAAACCAGTAATCAGACAAGAAGAAAACAGCAGTTAGACAAGGTGAAAACCAGAAGTCAGGCAAGGAGAAAAACTGAAGTCAGACAAGGAGAAAACCAGAAGTCAGACAAGGAGAAAATAGCAGTTAGACAAGGAGAAAACCAGAAGTCAGACAAGGAGAAAACCAGTAATCAAACAAGAAGAAAACAGCAGTTAGACAAGGAGAAAACCAGTAGTCAGACAAGGAGAAATCTAGAAGTCAGGTAAAATCATCAGCTGACTTACTGTACTTTCAAACTTGTATCATGAATTAGTCTCAATATATCATGTCACATATGGATGGACTGGTACAATCTAATTACACTATCAAACTATCCAAATTTTATTTAAAAGCACATTTTAACACACAACAAGAGGGCCATGATGGCCCTGAAGTCGCTCACCTGTATATAGGCCCCCAGAAGCGGGGCAAGTTTGAACCCTGGGGCTTTTATTTGAACAAACTTGGTAGACACCCATAAGAAGATGTTTCATGCTAAACATCTAAGGTCTAGCTCGTTGGGTTTTTTTCAAAGAAGATTTTTAATTTTTTTCTTTACACATATATTTAAAAACAATGACACCCCTGGGGCAGGGCCAGTTTTGACTCCAGGGCTTTTATTCGAACAATCTTTGAAGACACTAACTAGAAGATGTTTCATGCTTTATATATAAACTCTTTCTATTCGGGTTTTTTCTAAGAAGATTTTTAAGGTTTTTGCTAAACACATAAAAGGAAAATCAATGTCCCCCGGGGCGGGGCCAATTTTGACCCCACGGCTCTTATTTGAACAAACTTGGTAGACATCCATTAGAACATGTTTCATGCTAAATATTGTAGCTCTAGCTCTTTGGGTTCTTTAAAAGAAGATTTTTAAGTTTTCACTATATTCATATAGGGAAAATCAATGACCCCCTGGGGCGGGACCAATTTTGACCCCAGGGCTTTTTGAACAAACTTGGTAGACATCCATTAGAACATGTTTCATGCTAAATATTGTAGCTCTAGCTCTTTGGGTTCTTTAAAAGAAGATTTTTAAGTTTTTACTATATGCATATATGCATATAGGAAAAATCAATGACCCCCTGGGGCGGGGCCAATTTTGACCCCAGGGCTTTTATTTGAACAATCTTGGTAGACACCCATTAGAAGTGTTTCATGCTAAATATCTTAGCTCTAGTTCTTTGGGTTCTTTAAAAGAAGATTTTTTAAGTTTTTACTATATGCATATAGGGAAAATCAATGACCCCCTGGGACGGGGCCAATTTTGACCCCTGGGCTTTTATTTGAACAAACTTGGTAGACACTCACTAGAAGATGTTTCATGCCAAATATCGTAGCTCTATCTCTTTGGGTTTTTTTGGAAGAAGATATTTAAAGTTTTTTCTTTTGGTTGCCATGGCAACCAGAGTTCTGCATGGAATTAAATTCTTTCAACAATTTTCAAAGGTGACCACCAAAGGAACATTCCTGTGAAGTTTGGATGAAATTGGCTTAGTGGTTTATGAGGAGATGTCATTTAAAGTAAAAGTTTACGGACTACGGACGGACGTACGACGGACGGACGGATGGACGCTGGACGAAAAGCGATCACATAAGCTCACCCTGTCACAGTGAGCTAAAAAAAGAAGCTGAAAAATTTATTGCTAACTGCTACAACAAATTCTTATAGTGATACATATGTTTGCATGTTGACTAAATAAAAGAAAACTAAGATTTATAAAAGAAGTGAAATATGTAATAGACCAGTAAATAGACTGTACACACAGTAGTATACTTGTGACACAGACATGTCATTATCGTAAATCCACATTAATTTAAAACAGCATGTCGCCAAATTCATGCTAATTTTCATGTATTTAAAAATAAAATATTCGGTAGTGAACAAAGAAAGTGATTTACACATTTCTAACGACGCTTACAATCCATGTAAATTTACCAAAAAAAGGTCAAAATATGCAAAAAAGTCCTTTCTGCATTAGTCATGCAAATTATCATCTTGATATCCCCAAAATTGATAATGGACTGTTCCATTTAAAAAATTGTGCAGGTCAATTCAGGAGATGTAATTCATTATAGAACATGAATGGATACCAATGTTGTACCTGGGTACCATGTACCTGAGCTTTAATTACCTGTAGATAATATAATGTCACCTATTGATATAAATGTTATTTGCTTAGTTGTAAAATTTCTTTTTTCTAAATAACATTTCATTTCATAATCTTGTCATAGAACATTTCATAATCTTGTCATAGAAGAGAAGTTATAATTTTTAATGTGTTAATTTTATTTATGTTTTATTTTAAAAATCTTTTAAATCAACAACTGGTAATTTTAAGAAATAAATAAACTGGGGTCAAGGTTACAGAACGTCACATACATATTCAGGTGCAATGTGGAGATTATCAGCTGTTGACATTTGATACAATGTTTTATCTCATATCTTAATGACCTGTACACCTAGGTAAACTACCTAGGTAAAAAATTTAGTAAACATTTCGTGCAGTTGTTCCTATTTTTTATTCAAACCATACTTTCATTATTACTCTTTAATAATTGAAATCCATCTTTCAATCATATTTTTAACACTTAAATTACCTGATTAAATAAATATCTTAAATGTACTAGTCCAGTTTTTAATCTGGACAAAACCATTCACAATATTTATTGACTGCATGTATACAATGTAGACTGTGATCAGTCAGCACAGCTGTGACCAGCTGATCATGATCTGCACTGGTCACATAGGTGAATTTGTTGACACCACTTGGCCGTGTCCTTTTTATTCCTTATTTTCAATCCAATAACTTTCAAATTTTATTTCTAAATCCAAATCCCAAATTTCAATTTACTACATTTCAACATCATTAAAACTCATGATTATGCCTGGAAAATCTGCATTTAGAGTATTTAGTCTTTAAAAAAAAAAAGAGTTATGGTAGTGGAAAAGTGAAAATCAGGGAGGCTACAATCCACCAGACTTGGTGAGCAGACAAGCAGACTAGAAGATGAGCAGACTGGAAAGTGAGCAGATTGGAAAGTGAGCAAACGTTAAGCAGACAGGAAGGCACGCAGACTGGAAATTATCGACCTATATCATGTTCTTTTTAAAGCATACCAAGTTTCTCAACAACGTAATTATTTTGTTTACGCTATAAAGACAAAGTGGTATAATTATGAATAGACTTTTACATCATTATTATATTTTTATTACATTTGCATGACCGTGTATCCCAATGTTGTGAATAATTATCATGAACAATACAGCTACCTGCGGTTTGTTTAAATGACATTTTTATTACCTCCTTTAGTGCTGCATCAACTTGTGACAAAATTAATGAATATAGCTCAGATAAACTATGATCTTATATTTTTGTAAACAAAGATGAGAAGTGAGTTATACAAAATTAATAATACTTAAAAATTAATGAATATTGAACTTGTAATACAAAGTGAGTTTGACCTTATCCACAAGTTTAGTAATTTAAGTCATACGTACATATATTAGAAAGACATGTAAATATGGCAAATTTTCATCATTCTACATGTATGATATATATCATATATATTTTTATCAAGTATACTTTAACAAATTTTTTTAAACAGAATTACGGTCTTTATCTGGATGGCCATCCCCACCTACTACAATTTCCTTATATACCCTTTCACTTGCAAGGATACAATTCTAGTATATCTTTTGTCTCTTTGAATACTACTAACTGCAAGGCTTTGTGATACATTTCAAACTTAAAACTGTCAAGGTTAAAACTTTCAAATTTCTACTTATACATTTGATACTTGACTACTTAGCAAACATTTATTTTTCTCAAAAAGACAACTCAATTTAATCCTTCACAAAAATTTCTGAATTTACAGTACTAAGTAGCCAGCTTTTCTTTGGTGTCCCATGTTGCAGACATTTTGATATAAAATCTGCTAAAATTACAAGTGTACAGTTTCAAATTCAAAAGCAGGGCAACTATTGAAATGCTTTGTCAATCAGCTGTGATATAAACATAGAAAAGTTTTATTTTAATCCAGCTTGAGATGAAATACATAAACCATTTGTGCACAAAAAGAAAACACAACACCGAGCAAACGAAACATTAACATAACTCACTGGTAATCCATTTCTAATTATTATATCAATTATAGCATGTGAAACAAAACTTTTCAAATATAGAAACTATCAAAGTCACATCATAGTTTATCAAGCTGTCACTATTATAGGACAAGTTTAAATTGATAACTAACTGTATGTGTCAGTTGTTTAAAACTTCAACAAAGATAAATACACTGAAACTTCTCCTACAAACACTGAACTTTTCTAGTATCTACTACTGTCATTATTCAGTGGCGTAGCTTAGATAATTTATTTATTTGATTCGGTTTTACGTCACATCGACACAGTATAGGTCATATCGCGATGTTCCAGCTTTGCTGGTGGAGGAAGACCTCAGGTGCCCCTCCAAGTATTATTTCAGGCACGAACCGGCACCTGAGTAGAACCACCGACATTCCGTAAGCTAGCTGGATAGCTTCCTCACGTGAAAGAATTCAAAGCCCCTGTCGGGATTCGAACACACAGCGGTGAGGGGCAAGTGGTTTGAAGTCAACGACCTTAACCACTCAGCCACGGATGCCCCAGCTTAGATAATAATTGGGCATCTATGCACTAACTATAACTAAACATTATTCATGTTATAATGTTACATCTTTGTTTATCTTTGTTGCATTTAATTTTCACCAAATCAAACTTCAGAATGCAGAATATCTCTCCTTACCTCAAGAGTTTTTCAGCTCTGTTACCATCACTCACTTTCCATCACAAATTATATACTGAGCAAAATGACAAAATAATGCTTTAAAATTTCACATAAGCTAAGGGTATCTCTGACAACAGAAATGGTGAAACTTGCATACAAAGTTGAAATCTAATTTTATGTTGTTGTTTTTTTTATTCCAAACATTCACAAGCCGGTATTGTGACTTATATACTGATCTTTGATGTACATTTTGGTTTTAACCTTAATGAATTTATAACTTAAAGTTGTTTTTTGTACACAAATATACAATGTATATAACATGTCAAATTTTAGATGACAGCATTACATTAATGGTGAAATATACATCAACTATCAACCTGCTGAATTCCTTAAATGGACAGGGCCAGCTACCATTTATGGAACGGCCCATTATAAAGTATGGGGATAATAAGATGAAA